GCTTACTTACAGTGATTCCAGGGAGTTAGTGACATAACTCTCCCAGTTTCTCCTGTACCACTCATAGACTTTAAAGAACTTGAAATCTAATGTCCAAGATGAATACAATAAGCACACAAACAATTACAATTCAAGGTATTATATGAGAAACAGAAAGTCTGAAAGCAGACGGAAGAGGGAGAAATTACATCTTTGGGCTGGGGTAGGGTGGGCTAGGAAGAGTAATCAGGATTGTGTACCACAGTTCTCAACCTTTTTTGTCTCATGACTTTTTCACATTTAAACATTTTAAAAAAGATATTTGTGGGTACACAGTAGGTGTATATATTTATGGGGGTACATGAGATGTTTTGATACGGGTATGCAATGTGAAATAAGCACATCATAGAGAATGGGGTATCCATCCCCTTGAGCATTTATTCTTTGGGTTATAAAAAACTCAATTATACTCTGCAAGTTATTTTAAAAATGTGTAATTATTATTGACTGTAGTCACTCTGTGGTGCTATCAAATAGGAGGTCTTATTCATTCTATTTTTTTTTTTTTTTGTACCCATTAACCATCTCACCTATCCTGCCAGGTCCCCACTACCCTTCCCACCTTCTGGTAACCATCCTTCTACTCTGTATGTCCATAAGTTGTTTTGACTTTTAGATCCTACAAATAAATGAGAACATGTGATGTTTGTGTCTGACTTATTTCACTTAACATAATAATCTCCAGTTTTATCCATGTTGTTGCTAACGACTGGGTCTCATTCGTTTCTATGGCTGAATGGTACTCCTGTATTTATATGTACCACATTTTCTTTATCCATTCATCTGTTGATGAACACTTAGGTTGCTTCTATTGTAAATAGTGCTGCAACAAACATAGGAGTGCAGATATCTCTTCAATATATTGATTTCCTTTCTTTTGTGTATATACCCAGCAGTGGTATTGCTGGATCATATAGTAGTTCAATTTTTAGTTTTTTAAGGAACTTCCAGTCTGTTCTCCACAGTGGTTGTACTAATTTAGATTCCTACCAACAGTGTACAAGGGTTTCCTTTTCTCCATATCCTCAACAGCATTTGCTACTGACCATCTTTTGGATATAAGCCATTTTAACTGATATGAGATGCTATTTCACTGTGACTTTGACTTGCATTTCTCTGACAACCAATGATGTTGAGTACTTTTTAATATGCCTACTTGTCGTTTGTATGTCTTAAGAAATGTCTATTTAAACCTTTTCCCCATTTTTGATCAGATTATTAGTTTTTTTTCCTATAGAGCTGTTTGGGCTCCTTATACATCCTGGTTATTAATCCTTTGTAAGACGGAAAGTTTGCAAATATTTTCACACATCCTGAGGGTTGTCTCTTCCCTTTGTTGGTTGCCTCCTTTGCTGTGTAAAAACTTTTTAACTTGATGTGATCCCATCTGTCCATGTTTGCTTTGGTTGCCTGTGCTTACGGGATATTGCTCAAGAAATTTTTGCCCAGACCAATGTCCTGGAGAGTTTCCCAATGTTTCTTTTACTAGTTTCATAGTTCGAGATCTTATATTTAAATATTTAATCCATTTTGATTTGATTTTTGTATATGGCAAGAGATAGGGGTCTGGTTTCATTCTTCTCCAGAGGGATAGCAAGTTTTCCTAGCATCATTTATTGTCTTTTCCTCAGTATATGTTTTTGGCCCTTTTATATTCTTAACCCCAAGAGCTTGTTTCTTTTTGTGATTATATCTATTGATTTTTTATTGTGTTAGAAATTAAAACTAAGAAAACTAAAAATATACATTAAGATTACACATACTTCAAAATAATAAACCCATTATATATTATCACATTTTAATGAAAATAACTGTATTTTCCAAAACAAATACAGTGACAAGTGTGGCATTTGTTTTCTATTTCTGCTGCGCTGTTTAATCTCTGGCTTAACAGAAGACAGCTGGATTCTCATATTTACTGCTGCATTCACTCTCTTGAGATAGGTTGTTTTGGTTGAAGCCTTAGAAGACAACTCAGCCTCATGCAGACATACAGTTGGAAAAGAGGAGAGTAATAGCCTTTTCAGATAAGTGTGCCTATTTTTCAATACTACATCAAAACTTCACAAGTAGTAGTTTTTTAAAAGTTAGCTGCGATGCAGAAACTGAAATCATATCAAATGAGCTTTTAGTATGCAGTAATGTTAAAATCTATTGATCTATCTTGCATTTTAAATGTATAGTTTTGTTATATCATGTATTGGTTCCTTGGCAATATTAGTTTGCTGAATTATACAGAGCTTCCAAATATTGTCACATTTCATTATATAGTATAAAAATTGCTTGTTAATATCACCACTAGTCTTATCTGGAAAGAATTTAAATAATAGGGACATGTTCGCAGTGAATACAAATTTTCTGAAATTCTAATTTTCACTTAACATTCTGTCAGTTATTTTCTTGGAGGAGACTCACATTATTAATTTTCTGAATACTCATAGTTTTTGTCTATCAGCTGTTCTTTTAGGCAAAAAAGGGTTCCATGAAAAACAGTTCATTCAGCTCACAACTCAAGACAATTGCTCAAGTGCTTTAGTTGTACTTCCCATTTAGTCACACAGAATATTAAAAAGACATGTTATTGAAGGTTAAGATAATAATTTTTACTGCCTTTCTCAAGAATATTCTTACGTGAAACTGGCTTTTTTGATGGCAGGTGCACGGCATCACTGCTTTGAATGGTGCTAATTGAGGTGCCAGCAGTGCTATCCGCCATTTCCGCCATCTGCACATAGGTCAATGCAGTGAAGAAGGAAACTGACATCTTAGTGTTATGAAAGTAGATTTGATCTTGTGGACCAGCTGAAAGACCCCTGAGAGTGGAACTCACTTTGAGAACTGCTGATGTACAAGATACTGGCTTTGAAAAATAAGTTGGATTTTGATAGGATAAGATGAGGGAGTATATCTGAGGAACAGCAGGTAGACAGTTTGGTTGGAAGAGGAGGAAAGCAGAGGCAGATGAAACTGAAAAGATACTGTGAAAGGCCCGAATGCCTTGATGATGACCCACTTAGGTTTAAGCCACACAGAACGAGGCAGGTTAGGAGGAGTATCTTTTGTTTTTTTTTAATAGGAAAGTTGTGGCTTCAACTTACATAAAATAAAGCTTGCCATGCATACAGTCACTAGTTATAAAAATAATGATTGCATTGCTGCTTTTCTCATAGGGAATAAATAAAACAAACATCTTTACAAGTGACATATTGTAAGAAACATGCCACACTATTACTTCAATTTAGACAGTATTCATTTTAGAAGGAAAATGAATGAGAACAAAGCACTGTAAAAGACAGTGTGGCGATTCCTCAAGGATCTAGAACCAGAAATACCACTTGACCCAGCAATCCCATTACTATGTATATACCCAAAGGACTATAAATCATTCTACTATAAAGACACATGCACACATATGTTTACTGCAGCACTATTCACAATAGCAAAGATTTGGAGCCAACCCAAATGCCCATCAAAGATAGACTGGATAAATAAAATGTGGCACATATACACCATGGAATATTACGCAGCCATAAAAAAGTATGAGTTCATGTCCTTTGCAGCAATACGCATGAAGCTGGAAACTATCATTCTCAGCAAACTAACACAGAACAGCAAACCAAACATGACATGTTCTCACTCCTAAGTGGGAGCTGAACAATGAGAACACACAGACACAAGGAGGGGAACATCACACACCAGAGGCCTGCCTCAGGGTGGGGGATTAAGGGAGGGACAGCATTAGGAGAAATATCTAATGTAGATGATGGGTTGATGGGTTCAGCAAACCATCATGGCATATGTATAATTATGTAACAAACTGGCACGTTCTGCACATGTACTGCAGACTTAAAGTATAATAATAAAAAAGAATGAGAACATTTATTAAGCACCTATTCTGAACCAAACACTACGCTAATCACTTTTTACATGTTATACGATTTAATCCTTAAACTTACAAAAGCAGTATTACAATTCATATAGATAAGGCGAATGAAGCCCAAAACGTCACTAACTTTCTAAGGCACATGACTCTGAACTCTGATTTTGTCACATCTCATTTTGTCATCTCTTTTCTCAAGGCATTTGGGAAAAGTCAAATTTAATTACCATGCGCGTATATATATATATATATATATATATATATATATATATATATATATAAAATGCAATCTTTTTTCTTTTTTCTAAAAGAGATGCAATAAGATGTGAAACCTCTAAAGAGATTGTGTATTTTAAATTTTTTGTTTGCATGCGGAACTATTTTATACAAGCAATATACAAGAGATATTGCTGACTACTGGGAGCACTAGGTTGGCTGATAGAGATTTTGTTAAAACATTACAGCTGATAAATATCAGCATTTGAAATTTATGACTAAGCTTTATCACAATACTTTTGGACAAAACGACCTTTTTTCTTCTTTCATACTCTTAAATAAGAAAAAGAGAGAAAGCAATTCAGATTTACAGTCTGATAACATCTTCTCTGGCTCCCCCAAAAAAGGGTACTAAGTTTACTGACATCAACAAACAAGTTCTGGGCATATACCACCAAGTCAACATGACCTGTTCTTCCTAAACTTGGACCTGTTCCTTTGAATACCCATGTTATTTTACATATGCATGTACACACACTCTCTTTACACATCCATGTATACACATACACACACATCAGAGTTATCGCATGCTTCTCCTCCTCAATGTAAACAAATTATCTGTTTAATTGGATGGTTGGAAACTTTTCTGCTGACATTAAATTTTTTTTTTTTTTTTTGTTTGGGCATGGTACTTTACACTTATAATCCCAGTGCTTTGGGAGTCTGAGGTGGGAGGATTGCTTCAGCTCAGGAGTTCAAGGTTGCAGTGAGCTATGACCAGATCACTGCACTCTAGTCTGTGCAACAGAGAGAGACCCTGTCCCCCTACCCCAAAAAAAGTCATCAAAATGATTTCAAATTAATGTCCATTCAAATGGAATATTTTACTATAAAATAAAAGAAGTAAACAAATACAGAGTAATTATTTATTACTTACTCATTTCTAGGCAGAATAAGGGTCTGCGAGTATAATACAGTTCAAATAAAGAAGTTACCTGGCTTAACAATAGCTACTTGCAGAAAATTATTATAAATAGTAAAAACAAATAGGCAAACATCTTGAAAGTTTTATAGGCTTTGCATTGTAAAATTACAGGTGATTAGAAACTATACTTTTCTTCTATACTGATACTAAAATAGTTGCATTTTCAGCTTAAATTACAACAGTTAATAATTTCTGCAGTTGTATATAAACATAATATTCTTTCTACATTTCAGTTTAAAATTGTACTATATTAAAAAGCTTATAAAGTACATTGCCAACAAAAATGGGAACTCACACACATTTTTCTGACATTGAGGGACTCTTATGTTATGGAATGCCAAACATAGGCAATGTATGTAAGTTTTAGGATACTTATAATGAAATAATAAAAGAGAAAAAAAACCAGGACAACTTTGTCCCTTCAAAGTAGAGGCAATGTAGGTTACTTTGGAGGCCGAAGTGGGCAGAGATCAAGGCCATCCTGGCCAACATGGTGAAACCCCATCTCTACCAAAAATACAAAAATTAGCTGGGTATGGTGGCGGGCGCCTGTAATCCCAGCTACTCCAGAGGCTGATGCAGGAGAATCGCTTGAGCCTGGGAGGCGGAGGTTGCAGTGAGCCAAGATGGCACCACTGCACTCCAGCCTGGCAACAGAGTAACACTCCATCTCAAAAAAAAAAAAAAAAAAAAAAAATTCAAATTAATGATTTAGTAAATTTGCTTACTGGAATAAAAATGAATTGCACCATAATGAATAATGTGCCAAATGCTATAAGGTTCTGAATGTGTTGATCTTGTTGCTCTGCTGTATTTTGCAACAGTTGACTTCGATCAACATCCCCCTATATTTCTGACTCAATTACATGTAGATATAACTTTAGGGATATATTTTTATTGAAAGATAAACTCTGTCATAATATTTTTTGAGACAGAGTCTCACTGTGTCATCCAGGCTGGAGTACAGTGGTGCCAACTTGGCTCACTGCAACCTCCGCCTTCCAGGTTCAAGCAATTCTTCTGCCTCAGCTTCCCGAGTAGCTAGGATTACAGGCATGCACCACCACGCCCAGCTAATTTTTGTATTTTTAGTAGAGACGGTGTTTCATCATGTTGGGCAGACTGGTCTTGAACTCTTGACCCAGCTGATCTGCTCGCCTCGGCCTCCCTAAAGTGTTCGGATTACAGGTGTGAGCCACCACGTCCGGTCTGCCATAATATCCTTAATACAAAAGTATGAGCATTGGCCATTATAAGATCTGTTCTTTTGTAATGCTAGACTTACTACAGTAAATTTCACAAGTATGTAAATGTGTCATGGCTAGGAAAAGGATTCTAATGATCACATCTTCCTCCCTTCAGTAGGGTGGCTGGAACAAATTCAGCATAAGACTAAGATTGTAACTTTGTTGGAATTATTCCCTTTCAGTGTGCCCTGCGTCACACATCTGAACTTATATAGTAGACACATGTAGCAGAGAGTCTGTGGCAGATTGGAAAGCTCCCAAAATCTCTCAATGGGGTTGGGAGCTAGAAATTTTGAGGGATCTGATTTCCTGAGTGTGCTGCTATTGTAGGGTTCCTCAGATCTCTGTGATGTCAGGAGGGAGCCCAACAGGTTACCTACCTGCTGGTTCAGATATGCTTTCTCTTTTCATGTACTCACCTAATAAATGATATGTCAACCTGATCCTACCAGAAAAGTCCACAGGCTGCCTGAAAAATTATCTTACTTGCTGTTTTCTTCACTTGATGGAGTTTTAGGTATTAAAGGATAGAAAGTACTTGAAAAATCCAACAATAACCTGTATGTTTCAGAGTTTTTGTGATTTTAGATGCATCAAACTTTTTATATATTATTGAGTATTGAAAAGAGAAAATAACTTTCAATATCTAATAAACAAAAGAGGGAAAATAAGCTAGAACTAGTAACATATATTTAATGTACATAACATTGCTTTGAGTTTGTGAGGTAAGATCAACTATGAGGCAGTGTTTTTGCAAAATACCTGTAACTCCTGAATACCCTTCAGTTAGCCACTGATCACCTGGTTTCTTTCATGTCTAAATTATGATCTTTGCCAACAACAGATCTGTTTGGAGGAAGTGTTGTAGACACCCCTAGATGACCTCTCTGCCCTGGCCGGCTTTATCTGTTTTAACTGCTACAAGTGGGGAATGTTTTGCTAAGCATATTAGCAATCAATGTTGAAGTTACTAGTGAAAAACTAGGTATTTGTATGAAACTCCATAATTAAACTTCTATTTAACAGAAGACAGATTAGTAAAGAATGTAGATGGCTGTTGCTTACTAAGTGAAACATCCATATATATATGAAGAAAATAATTCCAAAGTGTTATAATAATCTTCCTTAGTCCATTTGGTCTTAAAAACTGTGTGTAGTTGTATCAGTAAAATTCACTGCCTTTTCCCACAGGGAATGTATTGCTAGGGACCACTGCCCAAACATTATGATGATTAACGGATACTGCTCTCATGGATGCAACTGTCTGAATGTGCAGCCTGCATTCTTAATGTTTACCACAAACCCAACGAAGCTGATGATCTGTCTGAAGGTCAGTCAGTTCTTCAATAGTTCTCCAGCTACACTGGCAGGCATACGCTCGTGTTCCTTTCTTCTTTATCAACTTGGCTTTTAATTTGTGGAATTCTGGTATGTTGTTCCTATTAGTAAAACAGGAAAGTTTTAGCATAGTGGCTTTGTTCAGTGTTTAATGACTCAAAAAAAAAAAAAAAAAAGTCATTGGTTTCTTTATTTTTTTTGAGCAAGAGTCTCACTGTTACCCAGGCTGGAGTGCAGTGGCATGATCATGGTTCACTGCAGGCTTGACTTCCCAGGCTTCCACCTCAGCCTTCCAAGTAGCTGGGACCATAGGCATAAGACTAAGATTATAACTTTGTTGGAATTATTCCCAACTGTGCCTGGTTTAAATTTTTTTTTTTTTTTTTTGTAGAGATGAGGTCTCAGTATGTTGTCCAGACTGACCTGAAACTGCTGGACTCAAGTGATCCACCCAGCTCAGCCTCATGAAGTGCTGAGATTACAGGTGTGAATCACGGTGCCCAGCCTATTTTCTTACCTTCCTAGTACATGAACGCTGAACAACCTAGATCCCCTCACACTAACATTAGAAGACATGCTTCAGTGTTCTCTTTCTGATGGTATTTCTTTGATAATCTGCACTTTTCATGGCAATTCTCTAGGCCAGTTTATTGACGGTCGTAGAATACAATAGCCTAAAGGGCTGGAGAATTACTGATTTGTCCTATCAGAGATGAAATAATATGAAAATTGGGTGGAAAGGATGGTGGTTCATCTCCCACCTCAGATACTCAACTATGCCATATTTTAAAACCCTTCAATATGGCGAGTAAAGAGAACATTAGAGATATAAAGATCACAGACTTCTGATGAATTAACTATGGAAAATTTTCATCAGTTTCAATAATCTGCTTATTTACTCATACTATCCGTAACAAAAATGTCTATCCTGAAATACATATTAATAATGTTGAAATAATTAAATCAACAAGTAGGGCTATTGTGAAAATGAGAACCATTGGATTTGATACTATTATAAAAAAGACTACAGAAGTTTAATTAATAAATTATTTTCATGACACTCCGTGTAATGAGTTAATATAAGCATTACGTGGCAAAGAAAAATGGAAAAAAATTAAAAATAAAATGATGAAAAAAAGGATGAAATACAGTATGAATGCTAGAAAAAGATACACTATCTAAACATTACTTGTGGGTATTACTGCAACAGAAGGCAGGCTACAAAGTGCCCTCTGGTGGTCAATGGCCACACATTCAGTATCACATTGTACAAAATTCAGGCACAATTTAGAAGGTTAGAACCTAACAAAACCTGCGAGATTTTCCAAGCCAACGTCTGATTTCAGGAAACAGTCTTAGCTGAGGGAAGAAATGAATAATATAAATTTTAACAAAAAGAAAAAACCCCACCAAAACTAAGCTGTTGAGGAAAAACGTCCTTTATTTGATCTGTAAAATATTTTAAAAACTTAACATTTGATACTTGACTGAATCCTTAGAGATTTTAGATTAGGAATCATGAATAGGCAGGGATCTAATTACGACATTTCAAATGCTTTTTAAAAATGCACATATTTTAAAAGCTTAGGGAAAAATCGTTCCATTCCTTAAAGAAAACACGATTTAATAGAAAAATAAAAGGATTTTCTTCAGCTGTTGTAGCAAGGTGGTGAAGAATTATAGCTTACACTCCCTTTAGAATGTTCTAAAACTCAGCCAGGTGTGGTGGGTCATGCCTGTAAACCCAGCACTTTGGGGGGCCGAGGTGGGTGGACTACTTGAGCTTAGGAGTTTGAGACCAGCCTGGGCAACATGGCGAGACCCCATCTCTACAAAATTAGCTGGATGTGGTGGCGTGCACCTGAATTCCTGGCTACTCGGGAGGCTAAGGCTGGAGGATTCTTTGAACCTAGGAAGTGGAGGTTGCAGTGAGCTGAAATTGCGCCACTGCACTCCAGCTTAGGTAACATGACTTGTGAGACTCTGGCTCAAAAAAAAAAAAGTTCTAAAACTTCTCAAAGCTAGGATACATTTATTTCTCTCATCTGTAAAATAAAACAATAAAACAACTGTATAGCATTTCACTGTGTAACAAATGTGCAGATCGACACTGCTAAAAATAAATGGCTCCCTGTGTGCTGCTGGACATTGAATGGTACTCTACAAACCTTTTAACTTGTCTTTGGTCACTGCCTACTTCTGGTTTCCTCAGTGATTATTCCGTATCCTCTTCAACTCCCACTCCACTCCCTTATTTTCAGCAGATCACATCTTCATTCTCAAAACCAGGCCGCCAGGTATGAAACCCTTCAATTTCCTGGCAAGCTCTCCCTGAACACATCAGTACCTTGCTGGCTTCCTCACAGTCATAGAGGTCTTCCTTTTCCCATCCAAGGCTCACCTCCCATCAGTGCTCTTGGCTCTACTGTCTGTACAACCTTGCTACTCACATGCTTGTCCCCTCCCATGTCTCCTTCCCCTGGGTTCCTCTCATCTTACGAACCCAGTATCTAAGAGTGTCATAGACTAGATGCTGAATAATGTCTACTGGATAAAGAAACACCAATATACTATACAAAATAACTATCACATCAGTGATTTATAGCCTGATGGTGAAGACTGCCTTATTTCTTTAGTTGTTCCATTCTCGTCTCCCAAACATATTCCTAAGTGTCTTGAGAACTGAGTTAGTATTTTCTACTGATTTAAATAATGACTACTTGTTTATTTTTAATAGTATAATAAATCCTCTGGTTGTCACTGTTTTATCTAAAAGTACATATATTTTTAAACTAGGCTGCCACAGATCTCGGGTAAACCAACTGGTGTTCTTGATGACTCTGAGATACTGCAAGTAGTACCAACTAAGTTATCCATAGTTTATGCCTGTGTTCACCCCTGTCTTGATGTTACATGCATTTATTATTCTATGACAGTTTTATGAAAATTCATGCTTCATCTTGGTGACATATGGGGATTATTAACCACTTATTAGATTAACTAGTAGATAGTAAATAGCAGAGGGTTTAGAAAAGTCAGAGAAGGAAAAGTGAACCTGTAATTAAAAGCTAACTTTTTCACTAATGGCTTAAAAAGTGGGCTAAGCCTAAAAGTATGGGTTCCTGACCTCGAATTCTGGGAATACATTAGGCTTTATTTGGGTTGGAAACTGTAAAACTTTTCAAGTTATAATTTTTCCATGTTATTTTTATATTTGAATTGTGTGTATGTGTATGAAGAGGATTCAACGCTGTCATAGATTTTCAAAGTGGTTCTTTTTTTTTTTAGTAGAGACGGGGTTTCACCATGTTGACCAGGATGGTCTTGATCTCTTGACCTCGTGATCCACCCGCCTCGGCCTCCCAAAGTGCTGGGATTATAGGCTTGAGCCACCGCGCCCGGCCTCAAAGTGGTTCTTGATGTGAAAAAGTTTAAAAACAATTAAATTAGGGTATACTCACAGATTTACCCAAGAATGGCTGCCAAAGGAGGTGTAGGGGAAAGTCTCTTACCCTTTTCTTCATGCTACTAAAAAGTGCTGCAATAATACACTGTATTAATTTTTAGCTTTACATTTTTATTTGAAAATGTCAATGAAAAGTTCAAATATATTTTTATAACTTGTAACACCTTACAGATATTAGGTATGCCGTAAGTGTACAAGAATGTACAAATTATATAAATATGAGTAAGACATTATCTCAGCCACAAGAAAGGCAGTAATACACCAACCTAAGTGCTTCAGTTTTATATTACAGTATATAATATGTCCAAAGCACCATGAATACACAGGAAAGGAAGAGTTTTCTTTCAGCTGAGAGAGTGGTGATAGTATCATGGAAGACCTGTGATGTATTGTACTCTGAAGACAGGTAGGGTTTAGGTAGATAAAATGATGGGAAGGCATCCTAGGAGGTAAAGAGGTTGTACAAAGTCAGAGGGAATGGGAGCCTGAGTATTCTGATGTAGCTAAAATCTTGTAAAGGTGAAATATACATCGTGGGAAGACCAAGCTGGATGATGGATGGATGGGAACTGGATTGTGGAGGGTCATGAATGCCATGCTATGGAATTTGGACATTATTCTGTAAGTGGAAGAGTGTTGGGCAGGACAGTACACTCTGAGCTATGCTTTAATTCTGAACAAGGGAAGGATGGTCTGAAAGAAGAGACTGTAGGCAGAAAAACCAGTGAAAAGGCTACTTCTGTATTCTTGTCCAGAAGTAACATGTCCTTATCCAGGCTGACAGCAGACAGATGGAGAGAAGGAGATGGATGACAGAAACACAGTCATGCATTGCTTATGCTTTGTTACGCAATTCCCTCATTGTGTGAACATCATAGAGTGAACTTACACAAACCTACATGGTATAGCCTACTACACACCAAGGCTATATGGTATAGGCTACTGTTCCAAGGCTACAAGCCTCTACAGCATGTTACTGTTTATACCGGCATCACCACAAACACGAGCAATGCCTTGCAGCACAATATTACAGTGGCTATGTTGTCACTAGGTGATAGGAATTTTTCAGCTCCATTATAATCTTATGGATCCACCATGTATATGCAGTCCATTGCTGACTGAAACATCGTAATGTAGCACATGGCTGTATTGAAGAGGTGAAGCCCACATGATCTGGCCAAATCCACCAAGAGAATATGTCAAAATAAGAAATATGAAGTACTTGGTACATTTTTCAGAGTGAAGTTCTTTAGTAACATACCTGAAAAACAGATAATCACATGATTTGTCCCACATATAGTCATCATAGCTTACCACCAAGAAATCACAGGCTATACAACGCAGATGGTTACATGCTCTGTTCAGAGAAAAAAGAATGGTATATTAAAGATAATTGGTATCTTTAAATGTGAAAACATGGTGATTTATTTATAGGACACACCACATATTAGATTACTGAATAAACAATAGAAAAGTACAGATTAATTTGATTACAAATGTTTATACTAAAGCATTGTTTATCGTCTAAACCTTAAGGTTAAATTTTTGCATAAACCTACCTATTTTACTACAATCTTGTACAACGAACATACACATATATAGATATGGGAGAAAATAGATTTGTAGATCTTTTAATGCCATGATGTTTTCAAATTATGTCTGAGGGAGACCTTATAACTTATAACACTTTAAAGATATTAGATATGCTGTAAGTGTATTTAAGCTAACTTCTTTAAATGCTTCCCTTCCTACTGAAATTTTCAGGAACATCTCTACCAAAGAATATGTCACATTACATTGAAATGAATCTGCTTTTCCCATAAGCTGCTGAAGTGCTAGGAAAAGATCATATTTGTTTCTACTTCCTCACAACTTGGCATAATGCATTCATTCACTCACTTAAAAATATTTATTGAGAGTCTAGTATGTGTTAGTGAGATTCTGTCTTCATGGGGCTTCAACTGTAGTGAGAGAAGAAGTAAACAATACTCATGATAACTAAATTATAAAGTGTGTTAGAGGCTGCTAGTGCTTTGAATGAAATAAGTAGAGTAGGGTAAAGAAAACTGGGAGTATGAGGAGGGGATGGCTTCCAATTTCAAATAAGGTGGTCTGCATAGGCCTTACGTAGAAGGTATATCTATGGAGTGGTACCTTTTAGTTTCTTTAGAAGGAAGTGGGTTTAAGAGATTATGTTTAAGAGAGGAGGAAAAGGAGCATGCTGTGTGCTGATGTTCAAGATGCAGTGAAGAGCAAAACTCTGATAATGTTGGAGAGAGTGGGCAGAACTGCTAGAATGATACTTAGCATACAATAGGTATTTAATGAGTATCTGAGGAATTAAAATTACAGGCAACCCTCAAAATGCAATTATATATATACTACATAGCAACTACAAGAGTAAAATATTACAGAGCAAGGTAAAAAAGAATTAGGAATTGCTGCTGCAAACAATTTGAATGCTATAATAATTCTGATGCACTCCATTGTTTGGAGTGTTCAAAAATCAGAATCAACACAGACGCATTTGATCATCAAAAAATTAAAAGGACATGTTTTTCAGATACCAAAAAAAAAGGGCGAAGACACCAGTAACAGAGTGGAAGAAAACATTTCATTTTCAACACATGGTTAAATACTTACACTACACACAAAATGCTTACTAATGACAAAATTAAAAAAAAATAAAAACAATAATCACTCTCTGTAGCACAGGCAGCAAAGAATAGTAGTTAAGGACATGGACTCTGGACACAGATTGCCTAGGTTCAAATGCTGATTCCACTATTTACTATCTGTGTAACTGTTAAAAATAACTTCTACATGACTCAGTTTCCATATCTGTAAAATGGGGATAATAAAAGTACTCACACACACTTCATAGAATTACAACCATGAGATATATTTTTTCATCAATTAATTTGGGAAAAATTAGCACTCTCATATGTTTTTAGTGGGTATGTGAGCTGCTATAACCTTTTGGGAAAATTCTTGGTATTATTATTATAATTTTTTTTTTTTTTGAGACGGAGTCTCGCTCTGTTGCCAGGCTGGAGTGCAATGGCGCAATCTTGGCTCATTGCAACCTCTGCCTCCCAGATTCAAGCGATTCTCCTGCCTCAGCCTCCTGACTAGCTGGGACTACAGGCATGCGCCATCACGCCCAGCTGTATTTTTATTTTGTATTTTTAGTAGAGACGGAGTTTCACCACGTTGGCCAGAGTGGTCTCCATCTCTTGACCTCATGATCCGCCTGCCTTGGCCTCCTAGGTATTACTTTTAAATCAAAATTTATACCTAGCCATTACTAGCAATCCCATTTTGGGATATGTACAAATAAAAGCACCAGTATATAAACATATATCTCAACAATTTTTACTTTAGTATTGTCAAAGTGACAAAAAACAGGATACTACCTGATTATCTATCAAAATGGGAAAAAACTGAGTAACATGCAGTATATTTATAAATGGAATATCAGGCAGTTGATAAAGAGCATTAGTTAGATTTATTTACTAACCTGGAGAGACATCTGAAGAAAGGTATACACTAACATATACAGCATGATCCTATTTTTATAAAAACAATCCCCCACAAAAATTCCTATATAGGTGGCTGTAAGTTTACAAAGAGCAAAATATAGAAAGTTATATACTACCTAGTAACACTGGTTGCATCAGGAGTAACTGAATAAAGGGAAGGAAGGGAGATTATTATCTTTTTCTTTATACGTGCTTCAATTTTGTTTTTATTCTTTCAATAACCATATAATACTTCTGTAATGAAAAAATGAAATGAAAACATTATATCTTTTTCATTTATTTCCTTTCAAAGTTCAGATATGCTAATTTCAAAATTGTAAATACTTTTGTCCTGAAAGTTTGAGAATAAATGCTTTATATGTCTAAAAATATTAACCATAATAATAAGGAAACATTTAAAACCTATACAAGTTTCATAGGCAAGTCCATATTTTCTTTCAAACTGTTAGCAATTTACGAAGTTGCATTTCTACATTTGGAAATTCTACAACTACATTTCTACACATTTGAACTCAGATTTCGAATGTACAAGTCAGGAAATGCAAAATGATAGTTTCCAAAGCTACTATGACTTGCTTTCTTATGCATATGTAGTTTATTACATGATTGCACAGAGTGTTAACTTTAATGCCTTAATACATATGTGCAATTTGGCTGAATTATTGCTGTTGTGGGAGCTATAATTTAGAATTTCCTGACATTTTGTATGTGTAAAATCTCAACCATAATGTTAAATACAGCTTTTTAATTTAATTTAAAATTTAGTAGTTTATTCAAATCTATTCACACTACCACATTTTCCTACAAACACTGTCCTTTGAGAAACATAAAACTAACTTGCAGCTAAGAAATCATTCCACTGCTACAATTTCCTCTATTAGATCATAATTAGTACCAGTCTATGGAATAATCCAGTCTTGCAGTAGTTTAAAAAATAATTAGGAGAGTAAAATTGGATTGGCTTGAAAATGCCTTCATTTTGTCTGTACTACTTATTACTGCCACCATACTTCCTACTACTATTCTCTCCCCTTTCCACCAACCAGTAAAAGGCAAATCATTTTCTAAAATCTAAAGTCATTCAGCACTACCTCAAACCAGAGCTGTATCTAGAAATCAAACAAACAACACAAATAGGCAGGATAGATTCGGTTTCCTTTATGCCCTGGCTGTGTAAATCAGTACTTCTTTTCATGGCTGAAATAGATGTCTCTTTCATAGCTATGTACATAAAAGCATATCTAATATAAAGTCATGACTCCAGTGAAAGACAAACTGTCAAGTCTTTCCCTCTAAAACGTAGAGGAAATCATATATGTCACCAATAGCTTTGTTCTTTTGTCCAGCTAATAAGTAGAATTCACTGTTTTACAGATGTTTATGATAAGAATGCCCCAAAACCAACCCAATATAATCTTCTGCCCAGATACTGTGGTTCTCTGTTAAATCCTATCAGATCTGCACAATGGGAGCACAGAATCTTGGTGTTTAAAAGTTTGAAAATAACAGCAGTTCCAACAGCAACATCAGCTAAGATTCTTCCCACTTACATACATTACATGGCTTTCTGCCAAGTGGTATCATAGAAAGCATAATGGATTAGGAATCAAGTCACCAATTTGAATCCTTGCTTTGTAATATTTGATATGACACATTATTTGGGAGTTATTCTTTTTTTTCTCCTTTTTTTTCTCTTTTTTCTAGAGTTATTCTTAACAACTTTCTCTCTTACCTCCTTTAGTTACTTAATCACTGGATTCTGTCAATTCTACATTCTAAATATTTCAAATTTGACTTTTTCCCTATAGCCATTGCTACCACTGAGGTCACAGCTCCCATCGTCTCTTTCTTGGACCACTCTAACTACTGCCTGTTGACTAGTCTTCCTGTGTCCTTTCTTGTTTTGCCCCTCCAACTACCAAGCCATTTTTTGCAAAGCAGCCAACATGACTTAAGAAACACAAGTCTGACCCATTGCACACAGGACATACCTTTTCCAAAATCCTCCAAAGGATTAGAGGACCTGAAGCCAAATGTCTCTCTACTCTCTCTCCAGCCCCATCAGCAGCCATTCTTTCTCTAGTCATTATGCTCCAGAACGGACAGATGCTCTCTGTTCCTTCCTCCAGAGGACCACCACCAGCTCCTCCCCTTCGCAGGGATCTTCTAAACATGTGTGCTCTCTGGCTCCAATGGTCACCTCTCTTTGCCTAATTCTTACTCATTTTTCAGACTGTGGTTTGGTTATCTGCTCAGAGAAGTATTCCTTGGCCCTTCATATTAGTTAGAGTGTCCATCATCTATGCTTACAGTATCCCATACTTTCCCTTTACGCCACATATCCAATGGAAATTAAATACTTATTTGTGGAATCATGTATTCAAAGCCTATCTCCTCACCTAGACTGAAAGCTCATTGAGGACAGAAAGTACCCATTTATTTGTTCACCATAATTTGTTCACTTAATCCCTAGGACCTACCAGGTGGTTAATATGTGTTTGACGAATTTAACACAAGTACCTCAATCTCTTCATTTATAAAATGGAGGTAAAAATTCTTGATTGGAATCTTGGATTTTTTTCCCTGTGGAGCAGGTAAATGAATATGCATATATAAAAAGTGCTCTGGACGGTATAAAGTACTTCACACATAAAACACTGCAAATGCAGATGAACACGTGTTTATCTTTCTATGGGTGCAAATTCTGTGTCATGAAAGGAGCAACTAATAAAAGATCTGTGAATATAAACATTTACCTGTGCATATATATGCAACTGGTATGTCTTCTCACAGCTGTGCAGGAGGTAGAAATGGGGTATAATTGATTTTGGCATCCCACTGGACTAATGGTATGTGATAGGAGCCTCGAGCTATGAAAACGGCTGTTCTTTTGTTTACTGAAATTCCATCTAGCAAAGATTTCATCTGTGCTAGAACTAAGTCAAAGTACACACAAAATATTTCACATATAAGAAAATCTTAACAAAATATTTACTTTTTAGGAGTAAACTAGAATGTATTTTTTAAAGATCATTTTTAAAAACAAAAGGCATCTATAAGTATATGTATTTCCTGAGATAAAATGGAAAACTAGTAGAATATAAGATTCTTGTCTCTGAGCTGTAACATAATGAGAAAGCAGAAATAATGGATGAGAAAGGTACCATAATTAGAACCCAGTGTGCCTGCAGTACTGTGCCTGTCTTTTGCACCACAGGCACAGTTTTCAAGTATTATTTCATTTAATCCTAAGAGTATCTCCACGAAATATGCTTAGTTTTTAAGAGTGAGGAAATAGGTTTGAGAAGATAGCATCCCTTCTTAAGGCTTCAGAGCTTATTAGCGGCAAAGTGAGGCTTTGAATTCAGGCATTCTGTCACCAGACCCCTTCCATTTCATGCCATAGGAGTAATCATCTGCTTCTTTGTTCCTCACTGGCCAATGTTTTGCCTTTTAATGATAAACTAGAATAGGGTTTAGGATATGGGTATTCAATAGATTTAAAAAAAGGAAAAAATTCAAATAGAAAAATCAATCTGATGTATGTGAATTAAACAGGTAAGGCAGCAGGAGACATGCATTAGAAGGGAGTAATGTTCCAGATAGGGACTAAATGTAAATATACTCAGACACAGCAAAACTTAAGTGGAAAGTAGAGAATGATAAGCATCCTAGTGGAAGTGGATATCTGACCCAGGCTGTAATTGGAGCTGAAGGAACTAAAGAGAGAAGAGGAACAGCAACGATAACAATTTGGTAAAGTAAATAGTGAGTTTAGAGTTAATGTGAGACAAAGGGGAACTCTAATTTTCCTTCTGAACAGGGGAGAAACACTCAAAATAATATTTTAGGGATGTTATCTTGAATGCTCTATGTGGGTGATACTAGAAAAGACGGAAGTGGATGGTAACTGGGAAACTGTTGCTGTGGTTCATGGGTGACTTGACAGATGCCTGGAATAGAGGAGGCATGGCTCTGAAAATGACGGAGACAAGTCCCAACCGAGCTGAGATGGGTAACTTAGGACTGATAGCAAAAACACTAAATTCAACTCTATAGGCAGTTTGTAGCTCTAATTCTTTGTAGAGAGAGTCCTCGACACATGATGATTCAATTACTATCAATTCTTCTTTACAGCTGTTACAGCAGGTACCAGTCCAGTGAATTTATATTAGCCTATTGGCTGCCTTATATACTCAGGCTTCTCCAAACTTCTCATTTCACTTTGGTCCTATAGCTTATAAGGCTTCTCCAGGCTTCTAATTTCACTTTGGTCCTATAGCCCTACCTTCCGGGCTTCCTTGGATGGAGGCTGGCACCATTTCAACCCTCCACTGTCTTTTTAACTCCCACTCCTATTATTCAATACAGTTAATGTGCCACAGTGATGTTCTGGTAAACAATGGACCACATATACCACAGCGGTCCTACAGGATTATAATGGAACTGAAAAATTCCTATTCCTAGTGACATCATAGCTGTCCTATATAGCACAGTGCTTACTCATGTGTTTGTGGTGATGCTGATGTAAACAAACCTACTGAGCTGCCAGTTGTATAAAAACAGCACATACAATTATGTATAGTACTTAACACTTGATAATGATAATAAACTATGTCACTAGTTCAGTTTTTACTAAACTATAGTTTGTATCATTATTTGAGAATGTACTCCTTCTACTTATTAAAAAAATTTAACTGTAAAACGGCCTCAGGCAGGTCCTTCAGGAGGTATTTCAGAAGAAGGCACTGTTGTCATGAGATGACACCCCCCAACGAATACCTTCCAGTGGGGCAAGAGGTGAAGGTGCAGGACCGTGATATGGATGACCCAGACCCTGTATAGGCCTAGGCTGATGTGTGTGTTGTCTTCGTTTTTAACAAAAAAGTTTAAAAAGTAAAAAACAATGAAAAAATAGAAAAAAGCTTATAGAATAAGGATGCAAAGAGAGAAAATATTTTAGTATAGCTGTACAATCTGCGTTTTAAATTGTTTCTATAAAATAATCAAAAATTTAAAAATAAAGTTTATAAATGAAAAAAGTTTCAGTAAGCTAAGGTTAATATTATTAAAGGGTTTCTAAAGTAAACTTAGTGTAGCCTACGTTACAGTGTTTATGAAGTCTATACTAGTGTACGGTAATGTCCTAGGTCTTCCCAGTCACTCACTACTTACTCACTCACCCAGAGCAACTTCCAGGCCTGCAAACTTCGTTCATGCTAAGTGCTCTATACAGCTGTACCATTTAAAAAATCTGAAGGCCAGCACAGTGGCTCACCCCTGTAATCCCAGCACTTTGGGAGGCCCAGGTGGGTGAATCACGAGGTCAGCAGTTAGAGACCAGCCTGGTCAACATGGTGAAATTCTGTTTCTACTAAAAATACAAAAATTAGTCAGGCGTGGTGGCACACGCCTGTAATCCCAGCTACTCAGAAGCTTGAGGCAGGAGAATCACTTGAACCTGGGAGGTGGAGGTCGCAGTGAGCCCAGATCACTCCACTGCACTCCAGCTTGGGTAACAGAGTGAGACTCCATCTCAAAAAAGAAACCACGAGAAAAACGTTTATATTGCATTTTTGCTGTACCTTTTTAATACTGAGATACACAAATATTTACCATTGTGTTACCATTGCCTATAATATTCAATGCAGTGATATGCTGTACAGGTTTATAGCCTAGTAGTTGTAGTAGGCTGGTGTATCATCCAGCCTGGGTGTGTACTAGGCTGTATCATCTAGGTTTGTGTAAGTATGCTCTATGATGTTTGTACATGAAGAGGTCACCTAATGACATATTTCTCAGAATGTATCCTTGTTGGTGACACTTGACTATATAACAGTTATCTCTCCAGAAATGTGATCAACATGCAATAATATAACTTAGGCCTTTTTTTCTTAAAAAATTAACGAAAATAAGTGTTTTAGAAATAACTAGATAAAAATATTCAATAAACTAAGCTAGGTAAGGAGGCCTCTGCCAAAAATTGAACCAAAAGCAGCAGGAGAGTGGGATTTGCTTAAAACCAAACTGTTTGCCTACATTATGAAAATGCGAATAGAATGTGCTAAGATTATGGGGCTAATACGGGTTTGGGGTAGGTGGCATCACAACTATAAGACTGCCCAGAAAGAGGTACTAAGTGAGAAAGCGGGTGTAGGAAGGGCAAGGAAGAGACAAAAAACAGGGTTTCTGCTTTTGACATATGTAAACACGTAAAACCAAGCGACTATGCTTGAGAATGCTTTGGGTAATGCAGACCTGTAGCTCTACACGCTAACTGGCCAAGGCAGTGTGGGTAAGTCATCACGTATCTGCTTGCCCACTTTGCTTCAACTGCCTTACTGACTGGCTTCCACTGCCTGGAAGGAAGTTCACTCTCCTGTGTCCTGTGGAAACAACGCTGGGATTGGAGTGATCCAGGCATTTCAAGTGGGGCTTAGAAAAGAGAGCATCAATACATGAATAATATATACCCAACAGCACAGCTTTCAATAGCTATCATCCAAGAATAATAAACAAACAATTCTTAGACTGGCTAATAAAAATACCTCTCCTTATAAAACAGACTGATGCCAAGATGATAAGAACTACATTTTAACAACTGAGCATCCATTTGGAAAAAACCCAGTAAAAAGTATAATACATTTCTGACATCCTACCTCCATGAAATACTTGTTCCAATCCCACATGGAATAGAGCTTCCACCAAGGTACACCGGACTGCAACTAGACGTGTTTAACAGATACAAAAATATGAAGTTATAACAAAAAGTAGGAGAATTTGGCCCTGTTAAAAAAGTTTTGGTTTTACTGACTTTATGTTCTTGTAATCAAATTGTATATTTTCCCTAGCAAACCAATCATTTCAAAGAAGACATATTTATTGTAGGATCACTGCTTTATTGGATATAACCTGTACATTCAGGAACACTCAAGGAGTTAAAATGAGTAAAGGAAAAATGTGTTTGCCAAATAAGGTAAGGGACGAAGCAAATACTGACAAATATAACAGAACATTAATTTTGAGAAACTGTTCACACTTTTTTTTAAGCGGCAGAAAATTATTTACAATAGCAATAATTCCCCATTTAATTTCCTTTACATGAAGTGGGTCACAGACCATAAGAACACTGAAGATATTGCTATTGGTCTTTCTCCTGAAGGCCAACCAGTGCTTTGTTGTTCAATCTCACTGCTGTTTAAATGGTAACAAAATCTACTAGACTATGCTCATAGTGTTTGCTCAGTAGTATGTAGAATTCACCAAAGCAATCTCAACTTACCTTTTACCAAGGCCTTGAATGGAAGCTCTGACAGATGTGTTACCGGAAGATTTAGATTTTAATTTCTGTTAAAAAAGCAAAACAATAAAAGGCCACGAGTAACTTAGAAAACTGTAACATGAAAACTAATATTCTTTATAACAGGAATGTTTTCTAACTGACTTAAATACAAATTTTGATGGCATCATTTTTAAGTTTCTGAAATAAAAACAATGATTAAAACCTTTTAAAGGCAAAAGGGAAGTAGAACTCCCTAAGGAATTTGCAAATTACTCTACTAACTTTTAGGCTAGGAAATTGATATATTGCCATTATTAGCATGCTAAGATTTAGAGTCACTTTATAACTCTTCAGTTAATATTACAGTTCAATGATTTAATATGAAGGACCTGCTATTTAAAACTTCATTCTAGAAAAATTCAATTCAGGAAGAAAAAAACCTCAGACTCATTTTTAAAGGCTGTGAATGTGCGTCATATGAACTAAAATTAAACTAACCAAGCTCCTGTGTAACTTCAGGAATATTAATTTTGATCAAATGGAATGGTATCAACCAATAAATGTTCAAGGAAAATGTAGAGCTACCTAGTCACAACCATACAGTAGTTCCTATATGGTTACATAATATCATCATCATTAGCAAGCATTTATTAAGTGTTAACTGGTATATGGTACCAAACAACATAAACCAACCACACACTAGGACCACCGCCAAGGAGAGGAAGTGAAATGGAGAAAAGGCAATTTAAACTGTGCAGAGACCTGCCTTCATTTTACATAGTGGGTGAGGAAATTTAATAGAGGCGAAAATATTGTTTTACTATTTCTCTCAACTCTTATTTGATGTTAAGCAGAACTGGAAAAACTTTTGGTACATTTCTGAAAAATAGTAATTTGCACAAGTCTTTCTGTTTGGGGAGCATGTTTCATGCACCATCCAAACTCAGGTTTATGACTCTAAGCTGACACACTCTGACGTTTGTTGTTGGTTCCTGGGCTTTCTTGTGTGGCTCTGGGAACAGTTCAGAAATGCAACAGAATGGGAAAGCAGGGGGTGAGGTGGGGGAGTAGTATTTTCAGGGCATGATATTAACCTCTAATGACAACGTCAGCATAGATCATCTGTTTATCGATGCTTCTTAATAACTGTTTTTTCCCCCAATAAATGTTTTACTTAGACCTGTTGTCTCCTTTGAAGGTTGAAACACTGGACACAATACAAAACTAAAAAAGGAAAAGATCATGCTTAAAAATTTATTTCTTCATTATCGTAAGAGCTACATTTATTTCAAATTAGTATATCTTAAACCCAAACCAGAGAAGTATTTATCTTCTTCTGAAACACCTTAACTGAAGAGATAGTGCCTCATATACAGATATGCACCCTATAGTAGTTAATAATGAATAATAATATTAATAACTAATGAAGAGCAACAAAATGATGTAATTTTTTCCTACTATTAATACTACTAATTGGCATTACTATTCCGTGCCTACGCACTTACTCGGCACTTATGAAGTATTCTGTTTGCAGGGTACAGGTGACCCTTGAAAAACATGCGTTTCAACTGCACAAGTTCAGTTATATGTGGAATTTTTCCAATCAAACAAGGATCGGAAATCCACTATTTGTGGCATGCAAAACCCCATATATAGAGGGCCAACTTTTCACATAGGCGGTTATATAGGGCTGACTGTGAAACTTGAGTATGCATGGATTTTGGCATATGTGGGGGTCCTGAAACCAATCCCTTGAGTATACTGAGGAATGACTGTACTTAATATTGCTACTGTGTTGACATACTATTTAACTCAGCATCAGCTTATTAATTTACTTCAGGTGAATTGAAAATGTTTAATTTTGAAAAATTCAGATCTTAAAATCTATACTAGTCATTTGATTTTTAGTCTGGCTGACAAAAATATAAATGGTCTCTCCTCTCCATATTCTTACCACTCCCATTACTTAGCTATTTTCAGTCCACTGTTTTGTTTTTATCTTCCCTATCCTTTAAAAAACAAAACAAAACAAAACCCCCTGGTACTATATTTATTTCTTAATTTTTTTGTGATCTGTGTAAATTAGACTTCTGTTTTGTATCTTTCTTTTAAATCTAACAGACATGCTTGACACACACCCTACTGATAAAAATTAAAATACATAAATTCTCATCTACTGCACAGTATGAAAAATGTAAGTGATAAAGGCACTTTGGAAAACAATTTGGCAATGGGTAGAAAAGTTGAAGATGAGCACACCTGCGGACCTAGGAATTCCTGTTCTAGCTTTATGCATCCCAGAGAAACAACCGCATATGGGTAAAAAAAGCCATGCAAAGATATTTAATGAAAGAGTAATCAATGGTTTTCCCTGTGTACATGTTAAAATTTGTATGCCTTTTCTCCAATTATTTGTAATAGCAAACAACTGGGCACAATCTAAATGTCCATCAGCAGGGAAGTAGATAAGTAAACTGTGGCAGGGTTATACAATGGACTACTATACACAGTTATAATTGTTTATGGTTATATACAAATGTAATAAAAGTATAAATGTGTGGATGGAAAGGATAAATGGTTATCTTTGGGAAGGAAGGCAACAGAGTAGGATTTAGAGAGGTCTTAAAAACTATATCTCTAATTTGTACTTCTTTTAAAAAAAAGGTCCAGAGAAGCAAATATGGCAAATATTAATATATGCTTAATATGGGTGGCTGTCATGGTATGTTTAGCACATAGGTTGCTGTTACATTATTCTGTGAACTTTTTATACAGCTAAAATAGACACATAAACGTTTAAAAAATTTAAATATTAACAATTTATTGCTTCATGGGATAAGAGCAACAGCATTTCATCTGAGGTGCTAAGCACATTCCTATAATGAAAGCTGTTTTTGGCCTTTTAGAAAAGTGTTCTTAGAGGCTACAAATAAATACAAGGGACCAGCTGGATGGTGAGTTGACTTCTATGCTAACAGCTTTTCTAATTTTTTATTCTTACTGATAAATGCACAGAAAAACACATACTGAGAATGTCTAATATTTTACTGCTTCCACAGCTCTTTAAGTGTAATAATTTCTTTAAGTAATTCTGTTTCTCAGAATTCAAAAGATAATGGGTAGCTATTTTCATCTTCCTTAAGTTATTCTAAACATGTCTTGAAATAATGAAAGAATGACTACGTATTTCTAACACTTGACTTACAGACGTTTTTTTGTCCAAGTTGGGCTCTTCAAATATTTCATTAATCAGACTGTCAAGATCATCTTCTCTTTTAAATGTTTCCGTTGATCTGAAAACGTAGACACAGAAAACCCACCTGAAATTTATTGGCAGATAAAGCTAGTATCAGAAGAGTTTTAAGCCCATTATTAGAGTTGGTAATAGAAAGATAAAAGTGATTATATATTTTTTTCACTGTGGATATAGTCTAAGTTTGTTGAGACAGATATACTTTATCAGGTACAAATTCACATATGTTCTATACTATTACATACTTAAAATGAGACATTTAAAACTATATACATTACCTTCAAGAGAAGTTGGGTATGTACTTATCTAAATTATATCAAGCACATATTTAGAGAATACAAAATATGTACAATGATAAGCAGAACCAGATATTACAAATAATGGTAATTTTAACCAGTCATTCTGACTTTGTTTCTAAAGGTTCCATTGTAAGTCAACCGTATCTCTTTACTAGAGGAGCCGAAGGTCATGTAATCAAATGACCCCTCCCCCCGCCCAAAAAAAGGTGCTATTTGTTAGACAGAATATCTCAACTACTCAACTACCTCTACCTTCTACTGGCAAAGCCATCACTGGATTATTAATATAAACCACTACTGCACAGAACTTCTATTTAATAGCTGATGCTAAATAGCTAATAGCTAAAATAGTATTTACTGAATACTTACTATGTCTCAGGCATTGTCCTTAGTCTTTACATGAGTATATATTTAACCCCACTTTTTTTAGATGAAGAAAAGGCACCGAGAGATTCAGAAATCTGTTCAAGGTCATAGAAATGGTGGGAAGAAAGGCTTGAAACTGGCCAGGCGTGGTGGCTCAAGCCTGTAATCCCAGTACTTTGGGAGGCCAAGGCGGGCGGATGACGAGGTCAAGAGATCGAGACCATCCTGGCCAACATGGTGAAACCCTGTCTCTATTAATAATACAAAAACTAGCTGGGCGTGGTGGCGTGCACCTGTAGTCCCAGCTACTCCGGAGGCTGAGGCAGGAGAATTGCTTGAACCCGGGAGGCGGAGGTTGCAGTGAACTGAGATTGTGCCACTGCACTCCAGCCTAGCACGTGGCAACAGAGTGAGACTCTGTCTCAAAAAGAAAAAAAAAAAAAAAAAAAAAAAAAAAAAAAAAGAAAGGCTTGAAACTGAATCTAGGGCAGTCCATGCACTTAATACTACATAAGACTAACTTTCTTTAGCATTTATATGAAGTAGATGCTGTATATCAACTTCATAACTTCATTATTCGTTCTAGAAGACAAATTTTTTTAGTCAAACTCTCTAATTTCAGAAATGTATTTACTCTGACAATTCTTAACATCGCCCGTCTTTGTTACATTTTGGAGTAAAATAATTTAACCTGATTTAGGAAAAGCAAGAGACTGCTGTCTACTACCTAATGGTTGATTCTACCTCCAGGCTTAGCTTTTTCAGTTGTACTATAACTTTTACCCTTAATGTCTTTCACTGTATACTGGTTTATTCCCTTGACTTAGGAGTATTCTCAAGGCTTTCCTCTTCAAAGAGACGTTTCAAAAAACCCCTCTCTTGAAGCTTCTACCCTTTCTTACTCGCTACTGAAGAATAGTCTATGTCCATGATTTCTACTTCCTTACAAATAGATTAGATTTAAGCATCAGTTGGGTGCTAATCCTAGACGGGGGTTTCTGAACCTTGTAACTATTGACATTCTGGGTCAGATAATTTTTTGGGGTACGTACGTGGGGGCAAGAGACTATTTAAAATTGCTTTCAGGTATCATATTCTATGTCTGGCCTCTAATCCCTTAACTATAGTGAAACTCTTCTCTCAAAGGTTTCCACTGCCCAAATCACTACAGTATAATGGCTGTTCTCAGTTCCAATCCTCTTTAATCTTTCAGAGGTATCTGACACTGTTGGGTACCAATTCCTTATATTTCTTTTTTGATAGGAGGTTGCTAAGATGTCCTCTTAAAATTCTCTCCTTTGGCTTTCAGGACATATTCTCTGGGTTCTCCTCCCTCATGCAATTTCACAATTTCAAGAATCAGATGCATTCAAACTCCACCAACCTAATCAGTACTGTTATAGATCCAAATTGCCAGCTTACGTAAGATTCTGGTCTGTTCTTAGATCATGAAATTTCACAATGCCTACACTTGCCTATGCTTTACTATAGTAATAAGTCAACATTTCATTGAGATAATTTTAAAGCACTGTATAAGACTTTTTTTGGTCTTTTGATGTGATAATAATCTTAAATGTTAATCAAATAATCTTAATCAAATCTTAAGCTTTTACTGGTTCCCTCTCTGTTTCTGACATTCTAATTTTTTAAAGATAGTTTCTGCTGAAAATAAAAGATATATTCAAAATAAAAGAAATACAAACACTTAAACCTATAATTAAGTGTGAGGTATGTATGAGAGGTATATATAGAAAACTTAAATCTAGATCTTCCATGTCCTTGTGACTTAGCAATATGACTTTAGGCAAGTAACTAAGCATTGATTTAGTGAGTGAAATGGGGATAACAGTATTCATATCATGGGGTTGTGAAGATTAAATGAAATGACATATATAAAGCACTTAGTATACAGAAAGAATTCAATAAATGTTGGCTATTATTATTATAGCTGTCATCTAGAAAGCTATATTATCTTTAAATATTCCCATCTGCATCATCCTGACCCACTTTATTCCTATTGCAGTTCTTCTCAACCCGCATCAGTCTTAAAAAAAAACCAAAAACCAATCACATATTTCTCTTTATCATTTTGAACACTTAACAAATTGCCTGTTTTGACCTCTTACATTAGCAGCTGTTCCTGGTATCCAGATGTAGCATGGTCATTTACAGTATTATTTGCAAAGGTATCATTTTAAGAGGTAATATCAGTATTTTAACTTTTATATGAAATACAGGTTACACTGCTATACAATTAGTAGGTAATCTCCTGTTAATAAATTCAAACATAAATACATAAAAGCTTCCTAGCTTTTAAGTATCAATTTTGGCTCAAGGAAAAATTTTAATATATTACATTAGAAACCAGGTTGGGACTGTATTTGGTGTAAGGTTTAGGCCCTTCGCTGCTGTTTTTGTATAATTTACAACTACATTGCCTGATGAAAAGTTTTCTTATAAATGACAACAGTACTGGCTCGCTACAGCTTTTGTTATTTAGTACTAAAAAATCTAATGTATCAAGGTAGGATGAGGTACTAGAAACATTATGAATTTTAGTAGAGCAAGAGCAGGTATGACACAACCCATGGTTGGAGAAGACCCACATAGATAGTCCCTTCCATTCTGAGCAGCTCTCAATACATCCTGCCCCTCTGCATGCTAGTTTTCCTAAGATGAAAAGCTCCTTGACAGATTCGCTCTAACCCCTAGAAGGACAAATGACAAGTACTGAAGAAATTGCAAAGTAACACTGCTGTGGGATAGGGATGGTAGATGTGCTAATAGGTACATAAAGAATTCCAATATACAAGATAATAAAAGTTAATGAGAGTGATATTTACAACATCCAGCCAAATGAGTGTTAGCCTATTCATAGTAATTATAGTTGTCTCTAAGTTTTGTATTAAAATGCTGCTCAGAACTCAACTAATTATTAGAAATTTTGTTTATGTACTCCTTTAGAATTTTTTCAATGCTTTTATCTTTGGAGAGTGAATTTTTATAAATAAATGTCATTGGAGGTAAGCCTGTGAATTAGTAATGGAGCTGGCTAGTACTTTGGGAATTCACACATACACCCACCAAAAAACCAACACCAAACCAAAGATGCAGCCAAAAAAATTAATAAAGATGACGTTCTTAGATTGATCCAAAGTTGCTTCTGTGTAATTTCACAACCGTTTTCAAAATATTCTAGGCAAGAGGCAATTTCCAAAAGATTCTACCAAGAGTTACTGCAGTCTCTCATGCCATCACTGTGAAGGACAATACTCTGATGTGAACATTTTCTTTTTGGAGGGGTTGTGGGGGAAATGAGGAAGTGAAGGAAGTCCTATGATTTAATAATTACATGGAGAAAAACGACTGGTAAATTTGAAAGGTAGTTTTTAGATCAAAAACCAAAATACTCACGAAATGTCCCTAAATTTCCCTATGTATGCCTGGGACCTTTAACTAGGGGGCCATGGAGAGAAGAAAGGTAGTTGGTTTAATGTTCATAATAATCCTTTTGTCATGAATCTAATCTCATCTGAACTCCCTGAGTTAAAAAATATAATAAAATAAACTGAGCCAGCTGCGATGGCTTACACCTACAATTCCAGCACTAAGGGAGGCAGGGGTGCGAGGACAGCTTGAGGTCAGGAGTTCTCAACCAGCCTGGTCAACACAGTGAGACTCTGTCTCTACAAAAAATACAAAAATTAGCCGAGTGTGTAATCCCAGGTACTAGGGAGGCTGAGGTGGGAGGATTGTTTGAACCAGGGAGTTGGAAGCTGCAGTGAGCTACGATCGCGCCAATGTACGCCAGCCCGGGCGACAGAACGAGACTCCATCTCAAAAAAACAAAACACAAAACTCAGCTAAAGACAGACTAGAAGGGAATTGTTTTCTCCTTTCTTAACTACTGGACCCGGATCGGCCTGGGGAGTGGGGTCTGAGGTAATGGGATGAGGTTGTCTAACAGGGCACCTCACAGGGAGATAAGAACTGCTCGGCCACACAGAGGCACAATTTGGGCGAGGTCAGCACAGCCCTCTCGGGGCTAACAAGGGGGCGCCTGAGCTGCATCACGGTCCCCGACTAGAACCTCCTAGGCTCTGGCAGGCAGAAATAAACCGGAGACAGACACTAGCCGCGGGCTCGGCGGGAGGGGCGGGGCCAGCTCTCCCGGGCTTGCCGGGGGCGGAGTCTGCGCTGAGAAAAGAGATGCCAGAATCCGCTTAGAGGGTGGAGGGGTGAGCTGCCGCCGAGGGTGGGACACTGAGGGTCTGAACCCTGACACAAGGAGGGGCTGGAGGTCGCGGGCAGGTTTCTTTTGAGTTGGGCGGCGGTGGGGCGGCTTTAGGGCCTGGAGCAGGGCTTTACTAGAACAGTCCACCCCTCCCGCCCCGTTAACCTGAGATTCTCTTTCGCCTCGGCTTGGTTCTGGTCGCTGCTGTGGGTGCCGCCACGGCAACCTTTGGGTTGCTCGACCACGCCCCGTCTTAGAAGGTCGGGTGTGCAAAACTTGGACTCCACTTCATCTAAGAGCTCGTCCAGATCCTCCGCCATCTTGAATTGCCTGACCTTTTCCCCCTCGAGTCGCCGAAGCTCCGGTGGTTTCCAGGGGTAACGCGAGGACCAGGCCTACTAGGCGTCCCCGCGCATGCGCACCGCGTCCCGTGGCAACCCGAGGCGCTCGCCAGAGCTCGCGGCAAAGAACGCGGTGGGTTTGTTGGGGGTGGGCGCCTGCGGGGACGGAGGCGGTAGTTCTCCCTGCCCTGTGTCTGTGTGACTCACGTTGCTTGCTTTTCTTCCTTCCAGTTTGTCTGGCGTGTTTCGTCCTGTCTCCCTCTCCCGGGCCCACATTGTAACCACAGGCACACTGTCGCGCCCCATCATTCTCTCCTTTCCCGTTTGGGTCCCTGTCGTGTTCCATCCGCTTCTAAATTCCTTAAATCTGCGGAAGGTTGGAGGAGAACGCTCTAAAACACAAAGTAGGTGTTTACGACAGCAAAACGCTAATGTTCCCGTAGTCGGCAGGATTCGAACCTGCGCGGGGAGACCCCAATGGATTTCTAGTCCATCGCCTTAACCACTCGGCCACGACTACTGGCGGTGTAAGTTTTCGCGGTGAGAATGCATCTAGACTCTGCACAAGCCTCTGTTGCAGTAACAGGCACGATTTGATCTGCAGGAAGGCGTTGCTGAGCTGTTTTGTTAAGAGCATATTTGAATGTTACGGTGCTCATCATTTTACTATTTGTAAAACTCTTAGGACATATTCCATATAACTCCTTGTATCCCAACAGAAAAACGTAATTCTAGTTAAATCTGAGAGAGACAGAGAGATCCCAAAGTATTGCACACCCATCTGCTTGCACAATGTTGGGGCCATTTCCAGGACGCAACCAGGAACCGTAGGGCGGCTGACCAGCCTCCCGGCTTCCTTGTGGGGCTGCCTGTTCCACCCCTGCCTTTCTCTTTGACAAACGGCCCCCAGGACTTTTTTTTCACCCATTATACATTAAAAAGCTGTTACCCACAGATTTAAATTCGCTCTGCAAGGTCGGACAGTCCCACGTGCCATGAAAGCATTACTTTGAAAAGTGTAAAGCGTGATACAAGCCTAAGGTATAGTTAATGGCATTCTTATATATATTGTCCACAGTTTAATCTGTGTTTTGGGTATTTCTAAAGCGGGATAGCAAAGAGGCTGGCATCCTTGGAAACTCTGGAGATCGTTTGATCCAGATGATTTGCTTGTTCAAAGTATCTTAATATCCCTGAAGAGCAACATGTAGTGGTGTGTTGGAGCGAATGGTACCTGCTCACTGCTACCCTCCGTTAAATTTTCAAGAGTTTTGGGAACTAGTTGTTAAATGCAACCATTATTAAAAATTAAATTATGCAAACTGGCAATTCCATTATATTAAAAGCAAATATGATGCTCAAAATTCACCACATTGTAGTTATCCCACTACATTTTATTATTTATAAATATCACTGAAATTGTTTACATCTGAAGGACTTTCGCTTTTTAACTTTCCATTCAGTGATGTCACTTGGGAAGCTTGAAATGAGCCATGGCGGGTGTTATTTCCAGGAGGGAAATTGCAAATGTGACAAAGCAGGGCTTTTTCTCCCCAGGAGATGGTTGTCATTTAGTAGCACACCCCACGTTGCCATCAGACCAACTCGGAATATTCCCAGCAAGGCAACACCCTTTTTCTGCAGGGCAGCTCTAGTTATACTCTCTGAATCTTTGTTTTAGCTGCTGGTATCCTGGCATATATATGTATAATAGACACACACACACACACACACACACACACACACACATACACATAAATGTGTATGTAAACATATATATGTTCACACACACAGAGGAAATCGGCATTTTTATTCACAATACTTAAGAATAGTGAGCACCACTGCCAGGATGCTTAAGAAGTATGCTAGAGGCCCCCTGACATATGTTACCCTTGTAGTCAGAATAGAGAACTCCAGAGGGTGGGGAGACAATGTTGGGGCAAGCAGAGGACTCGGACACTAGTTATTTGTCTAGAATCCTTGCATATCCTATGATTTCCCACTCATTAATTTTTTAGTTTTTCTTCAAGTTGCCTTGCTGGGCAATTTTACCTAGAACCAGCTTCCAGCAGAAAGATAACGAAAAGCTGCTTGAAAAAGTGGCCCTTGCAACGTGGCTCCAGGGGAAGTCATGCATAGTTGCCATCTAGTTTGACAGGCTTACATTAATGATTTGATTTTGCTCTCTAGAAGATGAAATCTGAGGGGATGTGTACCAGTGTTGAAAGTATCTGTTAGGGTGTAGAAGATTTGCAATGAGAGACGGTGAAAAGATAAAAGAGGAAATGTTTCTGGTTTTGTGTTTTGTTTTTGTGAATATTAGAAAAAAGTCAGCGTGTTCTCTCCTTCCCTCACTCCTACTCCCATTTTTCTGGTCTTTTGATTGGATAGTTTATTCCATTTACATTTTAAAATTCTATTTTATTTTTATTTACTTTTATTTCAGTAGCTTTTGTGGTACAGGCAGTTTTTGGTTACATGGATGAATTGTATAGTGGTTAAGTCTGAGATTTGAGTGCACCTGTCACCTGAGTAGTGTACATTATACCCAATAGGTAGTGTCTTTTTTTTTTTTTTTTGAGACAGAGTTTCACTCTTGTTGCCCAGGATGGAGTGCAGTGGTGCGATCTCAGCTCACTGCAACCTCTGCTTCCTGGATTCAAGCAATTCTCCTGCCTCAGCCTCCCAAGTAGCTGAGATTACAGGCGTGTGCGACCATGCACGGCTAATTTTGTATTTTTAGTAGAGATGGGGTTTCTCCATGTTTGTCAGGGTGGTCTCCAACTCCCGACCTCAGGTGATCCGCCCGCCTCGGCCTCCCAAAGTGTTGGGATTACAGGCTTGAGCCACCGCGCCCCGCCTCCAATAGGTGGTGTTCTTATCTGTTACCCACTTCCCACCCTCCTCTCTTCTGAGTCTCCAATGTCCATTATGCCACTCTATATGCCTTTGTGTACCCATAGTTTAACTCCTGCTTTCAAGTGAGAGCATATGGTATTTGGTTTTCCATTCCTGCCCACTCCTATTTTAATAAGATGCCATGTATGGATCATCCAGAGTTTGATATTTTGAGAATTTCATTTATGGCTCATTCAACTCTATGGTGGGTCTCCTGACTTGAGTTATGTTATCTTTCTGGTTTGCCACTGAGAGTAAAAAGTCGAGTTCAGAGTCTACAAGGAGAAATGCCACATGTCACATTAGAGTGGCATATGTGTATGGCTGTGTGATAAACTGTAAAATTATAGTGCACTATTAAAATCTGCAGATGTCAGAAAGAAAGTTATACAGTTATGAAATTCAACAATGAATGTGGATGTATAAGATGAAGGTAAACGTGGCTTTAGCAGATTCTACATTCATGCAAATCACATTAGATCATTTTTTAAAATCCTGCTACATATTCCTTTGGTATAACTTTCTGTTTCCCAAACAATATTCTTTCTTTCTCTGTAATTGTTAATGTGTGTAGACAATGTTGTGAATCCTTGTCCCCTGTCTTTCCCAGTCATGGAAAGCATGCTGAATGTCAGATATTTCATAAACAATACGCAAGTGCCTCCAAGTGACACAACTGTTAACATGGTAAAGGGGATGGGGTGTGGTGGTTCACGCCTGTAATCCCAGCACTTTGGGAGGCCGAGGTAGGCGGATCGCTTGAACCCAGGAGTTTGAGACCAGCCCAGATGACATGGTGAAACCCTGTCTCTAACAAAAAAAAATTACAAAAATTAGCCAGGGATGGCGGTGCTGCACCTGTGGTCCCAGGTACCTGGTAGACTGAAGTGGGAGGATGGCTCAAGTTCAGGAGGTGGAGGCTGCAGTGAGCTGAGGTACTGCCACTACACTTTAGCCTGGGCAGCAGAATGAGACTCTGTCTTCAAAACAAAACAAAACAAAACAAAAAACATGGTAAAGGGGCATGTCATGTATTATTACATTCACTTAGTATTCCAAGGAAGTATTTTAGGTAAAAGGTGTCCAAGTTAGGAAATCAAAGCGCTGTTGTCTCTCCCAAGTATCTGAAGAACTCTGAGCCTGGTTTCCTGCCAGCACCATTGTAATGAGTTGGAGGTGGCAAGGCAGGCTGTTCCACACAGCCTCAGGCCAGCTGCTTCAGTTACAAGGTATCCAGTAATCCTCCTAGCTACTCACATAATGAATTGCAAGGCTTCTTCGAATTCCCCTGTAGTCTGGTTTAATTTTCCCTGCCCTGCTTCTCTCCCTGCATGCTGCAGGCCTTTTAAGCAAATACTCACTGCTGGGTGGTGACGTTGGCATGAGGGGAGGCATCCTCCTGGGCCAGCTGCAAGCCTCCTAGCAGCCGATGCCATGGGAGAAATGGAGTAACACCAAAGCAGCTCCAGTTCTTTTAAGTGGTCCCTGAATTAGGCCTCAATGTCATGTAGGTAAACTCAGCCCAGAACATGCAGAATCTTTATTGGAATTTGTACATTCATCTCTCACAGCTGTGGAGAGTTTAGACTAATCACAACTCTCACTGGGATACTATTATCTTGGTAATTTGAAAAAGGATCAGGAGCCTGCAGGCTTGGAACATCTTGAGAAAGCTCTGGCTCTGAAATACATCATCACATGTGGGGGACGCCACTTGCGGCATCATCGCAGAGCGCTGAAGAATGCTGAAATCAAGTATTTCTCTGGCGTGATTTCAAATGGCTTGAGAAATCTGAGAACTTCTTTTTTTTTTTTTAAACTGCAAAACAGATTCTTTCCTCTTCCATCAACCCCGTTGCTGTCAATATGTCCAGCATTAGGTGCCAGAAATGAGCATAGCCTCTTAATGATAACAATGCCAAGGTTAACACAGCCGCCAGGGGCTCTCTCAAGAATCTGTTAGGGTGTATTTTGATCCACAGACACGTTCTGAAGGCGTGCACCTCCTTAGCTTTTCTAGTCTCAGTACATTTCTCTTCAGCAGCCTGGATAAAACCTGTCACTTTTTGCCAGAACTTCTCATGCTTTGGGGCCCCTCAGACACCATTTTTCATTGACCCCATGTGTCCATATGGTAGGGCTAGGTTCAGAGTTGGTATTTGGGAACCAGCTTCTGACAGCACGGAGGCCAGGATTTGCAGATGTGCTATGAGAGTGTAATATAATTTTTGACCCCACCCAAATGGATATTTTATCACCATCCACATAGCAACCAACAAACAGATCAGCCTGAGGAGGCAAGTGCTAATGTATGTGGCTCAAACCAGTCAGCCCTCTGCGGAGTTAGTAGTTCAGCCTGTTTTTGAGGCTTTAACATCACGATGTTCCTTTCAATTCTACAGTTATGTGAGTACAGCTCTTTCTTCCCTCCCCCCTTTTTCATATCTTTTTTTGTTTTATAATTTTTAAGCTTTAGAAAGTTAAGCCTGATTCAACAAAAAAAAAAGAAAAGAAAAGAAAAAAAAAGCACAGTTGGGGAAATCGGGGAGGGGAATAGCAATTTCATCCAGGCATTCAAATGAAGGCAAAGTGAAACCAAATTGATGGAGGTGATGGGATATGTCCCACAGGCCTGGGCTTAGGTTTGGTGCCCATCAATCTTCCATTTCCCTTGATTGACCATATTGCCTCTTGTGAAGGAAGCCAAGGTTGTAAGCAGGCCAATTTGCTCTATTTCCTTAGT